TTACCCAATACAGGAGTGATATACTGATATATATGATGTAATGGTTTATATATCAGTACTACTAGTCACTAATATTACCCAATACAGGAGTGATATACTGGTATGATGTAATGGTTTATATATCAGTACTACTAGTCACTGACATTACCCAATACAGGAGTGATATACTGGTATGATGTAATGGTTTATATATCAAGTACTACTAGTCACTGACATTACCCAATACAGGAGTGATATACTGGTATGATGTAATGGTTTATATATATCAGTACTACTAGTCACTGACATTACCCAATACAGGAGTGATATACTGATATATATATGATGTAATGGTTTATATATCAGTACTACTAATCACTGACATTACCCAATACAGGAGTGATATACTGATATATATATGTAATGGTTTATATATCAGTACTATGTGGTATGATCTATAAATCGTTATTAGCAAAAAACTATTGACGACTATATAAATAAAATGCCTCCATGAGTCAGGCTCATGATTGGTCGGTCTGTTTGGTCGAAGATCCAATCAGAACGTTCTGTTAAAAGTAACATTATATTTTCGTTCTTCTTACAATTGCCACTTAGTTAATACCGTTAAGCAACATCGCTCTCGAAGTTGAAAAATATCACCAGACACGTAGACAACATCTAGTCGCATCGACAGTGAGTAAGCGAGCCAGGTAAGACGTCAGCTTCCCATTGCAATTATATGCATTACTTTAATTTCTACAAATTGAATGGACAGAAGAATTGATTAACCCAGAGATACTGTTTCGATCATTTTCGATTGCTCTTTTAAATGTAATAGATCTAGCAAGATATTCCCACAAATTCCGTTATTTCTTGTACTATGTAGCGTATGCTGTGAGTACATATTGTGTATTTGTATGTACATGCTTCAGCCGTGTCTAGTGATTCACGATTAAGCACGTCTGCGCACTGAAAAACAATAAGATAAAATAAATTCGTCCAAAAGTTTGTTTTTTACAAAATGGCAAAATATTGATAAGTGGACTCCGGGTCAATATCATTCTGGTGTTTTTGTAATATGACGTCATTTTGAATGTTTCGCAGCTTTCGAGACACGCTCTTCTTTGTATGTTACATTTCTTTATACATAAATACGAGTGTGTCGAAAATAAATAAATTTGTCCATATTATTTTGTTATACCACTGTGTATACTCAAACAGGATAATTTGAAGCAACATTCGTAATTTCTCCACTGATTGCTTACTAGTATATACCCATATGTAAAAAGAGAACAGGAAATAAATGTAAGCAAGCAAACAGTTTAACATGGTGTGTATTCAGTGTTATGAAACTCGATGAAAAGGGCTATATAAACATTGCAACTACATTAAAATATTTCGTATTTACTCTTTTTGGCCGATGATCATTTATCGGATAATAAAGATCGAGTTCTGTTATACATCAAACACATATGAGATATAAACTGATTGGGTTAGTCTGCGAAAAGTGTATATAAGATGACGAGATAGTTATTTTAGCCTTATGAATACTTTTCCTGAACTATGCTAGAAAAAAATAAAACCTTGTACGTGTGTTATACTTCAAAATTAGTAGTAGTTCAATACCATTGAGATTTACGGGAAGTATTAGCTATTAATTATGTTAAGGGCATTAAGAAGCATTGTTTGTATGAACTCGACCATGGGTCAGTTGTCAAATCAGTTGTTTGAAGCTCAGAATATTATCTTTAAGTCCAAATGACTATACCTGAAATGCACCTTGAAATGTTACGACAATGTGAGAAAATTAAAGTTCATCTTTGATTACGTAAACGTGGATAGATATATTTTGACTGGATACATTTATGAACATTTACCTGAGTGGTAATTATGCATACAATATTTCCATGCACATTAGCATTTAACACTTATAACCGCTTGTCAATGACTGATGATGAATTTTAATTCTAATTTCCACCAAAACAAATATACTGACCATGACGTGTTTTTTTTTTTTTTTTTTTTTTGCGGACAAATCTTGAACTCTGTACACATCTTACTTTCCAATTGTACGATATTCATATAGCCTGCATGGGCAAAATATGTAATGTATACATTCCTTTCATGGTTGTTTAACATGTAAAACAATGGAAACAAAGCTTGCATTATTTGCAGTAGTATAAGATTTACAGCAATTCATATGACTAGGTTGTAACATTATTAATCTGATGCAACCTAATTGATATAAATAACATCTGCTGTATTGTGGAGTTGTATTAGACTATCGAATCATGTACTAGCTGTGTGCCGAACTCGCGCAGCACGAGTGTACAACATCACTCATAGGCGAGGCTGGCTAAACCATCCACGGCACAAATGTTTATGACTGACAAAAACACAGTATCAAATGATTAGATTTCGAGAGAGGTTCATATCTGGTTGCCATGGAGACATAATTATTGAAAGGCTCCGCCATTGCAAGATCGATAACTGATAACGAAAATTTATGAAATTGCTAGGAAAGTCTGTTTTTATTAAAAGGGCCAATCAATTAAATTTGGGGAGAGATTTGTTTACCTTGGAGACGAGCATTTTGGAAGCCTTAGGATGCATCACCATTGCCATTAATAGTCATTGTAATGATACGTACTTCTCAGCCGTGATTGAGGGTAAAGTTGGGCTCTCATGGTGCCTTTTATAAGTTATCACTATATTGAAAATGCTATGGAAATGTGTAACAACGAAATAAACATTATTTTGGAAATCAGAATCCCGGGACATTGAAGACTGTCTGTTTTTAAAACTGTTCAAATTATTATAAATGCAACGAGAGAACGAAAAACACAGTTTTTATTTAATCCGTCGCCATGAACACGTATAACAAAGAGTTGGGCAAACTTTCAGCAATCAGAACTTTTGAAAATTATTAAAACATACCTAGACTGTAACTTGAAGGAAAAAAAAACAATTCTTAAATCTGATTTGGTTCTCGAAGGAAATGTATGACCGTGAAACTTACATCATTTTTGTAATGGAATACAATGCTGTTTTCATGAAAATAACCCTATGATTACTCTATTGTTATTCTGATTATTCTAATAGTATGAATCGATCTTGTTAACAAATTCCGGTCATTTTCATTTTGAAATGCACTGAGCGTGTTTTCGCATGTGTTTCCTGGTGAACTTCTACCCATAATTGAAATAAAATCATTTACGACGCGCTAACCACGTGCACATTCCAGATTTATCATTTAGAGTTATGCCCGCTATTCCGCATATCCCTGTCCTTGCCCTCAGGCTGTTCACACGCAATATTGGGCAGTACGTCGTCCTAGTGTTTTTCGTTTATGATTAATATACTAAAAACAGAATTAATTTACCCAGGTAACTGGATTGTTTTCACATATATTTTTATAAAGTAACGATCAGACGTTCTTAAAATTGAAAACGTTTGCATGTACTTATTTGTCAATTGGTGACAGTCTGTCGGACGAAATCGCTATCTGTTGAAAGAAGTATAAGAATCAGGATTTGTGCTTAAAACTAACAATGGCTGGTCGTCATTAACAATAATCGATGGCCAATTCTATATTTGTATAATCTAATCGTAAGTGGAACGCAATTCAAAATTGAATCTACTCTGTAAAGCGAATGTTAGACAAGTGTCAAAACAGGGAAAATCAAAGTGTGTCGATTAAGATGTACACTCCAATAAAGAAATTACATATGATGCAAATTATTGTAGATCAGTAAATCGGCGTCATGCTGAGCAAACGCGGAAATTCCTCTATACGACTATTTAGCTCAGTGATGTAACACCCTGGATTGACTTTACTTCATTTACTGGTAGTTACTCGCGGGGTACACATTAATAAATTCAGCCACTCAGTTGTCTGGCTGTCGCGTTACTGGGCGTGTACCAGTATGTTTTCATCGAGATTGTTAGATCACATATACTATAATATAGTGGAGTTCCATGTATATTCACATATTTGTAGTGACTTAGAATTACGAGAATCTGAATTGCTTGAAATACGGACATTGATTTACGAGCATCGAGTTACAAAAATATCGAGTTACAATAATGACCTCGTCCATATTTGAGAGAACATGCCCACTTTTGCGAAACCACGCCCAAATGAACTCGTTGTTCAATTAATAGTTAACGGAACTTCGAGTTATGAGCAACATAGGTTTTTTGTTTTGTTTTAACGTTTAACGCAATAGCGGGCGTGTTTGTTATAATATGGGCGTGGTCATTTTTGTACTTTAGCATCTCAAGAATCACAACCATGTTTTCTCACACGAAATAACGTGTACATGGTAGCCTGGAAACCATATAATCCCAAACTGTAATATAGTTGATTGTGTACTAGAGATTTTACGTACTACCAGTTCATTGTATTAATGACATTGAAATCTCTTATTAGTTTCAGCTGTGATCACAGTGTCGAATATCCAGACAAATTACAATGACAAGCAACCAAACTGTCAATGTAGTGGTAACCAACTCTGAACATAAAATGGCCATCCTTTATGCAATCGTTGGATCCGTTGGCCTTCTGGGAAATATGTTTGTTTGTTACGTATTCTGTCGTACACGTCGATTGCGAAACATGACTAATTTATTCATCATCAACCAGTCTGCAATCGACATGACAAGCTCCTTTATCTTTCTCATCATGAAAATGGGCTCAATTAAGTTACCTTCGAAAGGCATCTTGGGAAGTCTGTTCTGCAAATTCTGGTATTCGGAGTACCTGATGTGGTCGTTGTTTCTTGCCTCCACTGCCAACTTATGCGTAGTTACGTTAGAGCGTTACTTCGCCATTTGTCATCCTATATTTCATCGCAATAAGTTTAACAAGAGAACGGCAAAGATAATTATCATTCTTGTTTGGTCATATGGTTTTCCCATCGAGTTGCTTTGGGGGCTACCATTTTACCACAGTAAAGAGGCCTGCGTTATCAAATACATCAGTATACAGTTCAACGTTTTTGTCGGCATCGCGTTTTTCAGTATATCGTGGTTCTTCCCACTGATGTTAATGGCCCTGTGTTACGTTCAAATTATCAAGAAGCTAAGTGGTAACAAATTAAATCCAAGTGACAACGCCAATAACCAGTCATCCAATCACAGCTTCCGTAAAGCACAGAAGAACGTGGTCAAGACGCTTCTAATTGTTTCTATAACTTACGCCCTCTTTTGGGGACCAAATCAAATTGCTTTATTCCACTTCAATATGGGTGGATATTTAGATTTTTCTAGTGATTTTTATTTCTTCTCAGTGGTACTTGTTTTCTGTAATCTTTGTGTAAACCCATTTATTTACGCATTTCAGTATCATCAATTCCGTGATAATATTTCTATTGCGTTTCGTTGTCAAAAACCGAGCATGCCAGCAGAGGGGACTGGCACTGGCACTGGCACTGCTTTAGAAATGCATACAGATAATTTGAACGTTTAGTAGAACTTGGAACATACCATTTTAGATAATCACCTGGAAAAATCTGATTTATCATAAGACAGTTGTATTGTACTGATCCGGGATGCTGACATTCTAAGAATATTATTTTTATGGGGGCAATCTTTGTACAATGCTTGTACGCGTTCTAGTGAATAAGTGCCACAATAATTAAAATTAATTAATTTTAAATATCGTTCATATAATGCTCATTTCATCATCTCTTTTGACTTTCACCTTTAGACTATTGGTCTTACTACGCACCAACACAAATATATCGGTGACCCCAAATAAACATTTACAGGCCAGTCTTAAAAACATACTAGCAAGATTGGTTACTCAACGGGCAGAACAATCAGATAGCAGCATGTTTGTTGGCGTACCAAATTAAAGTTTCAGTCAACTTGGTTAGGATCTGCCCCGCCCCACCCCATCGATTACGAATTCCACATTTACTATTATTCGTAACCGTTTCTGAAACTTTCGTTGCATTATATACTGATTCAAACAAACATGACCGACAGGTGTCCATTTCGTTTTTATTCATGTTCATGTCAATTCCTCACAAATCTTTTGTCTGTTTCAATTGAAAGTTTGCATACAAGTACAGTAACTATAATCATAGGTTATACCGTAGATCGTGTTATTTTGTGATTCAAATTTGTCGAACCGACGGTCATTTTGTGTAAATGCAAAAAAAAATAGTTTATATGACATACCTTGTTAGATAACCACTTCATTCTTATTACGATTTCTCCTACATTTAGTTGAAATCCCTTTATACATGTTGCACCTCGCTTTTCCATGTACCAAGATGTCGAGTAAATGTCAGCAAATGTTCATACTTCTTGGTTTATTTTCTCGTTTTAATTCAAAGTCAAAACATTACACAAATGATATTTTTATCAATTTTAAAAGCAATGTAGTCGCTTTTTTTAGAAAGTAATTTTTGTTACTATTTGTGATTTTTAATATTTGATAAAAACTTTATTTGTGAAATATTCTATTGTGCAAGCATGTAATCGGCTTATTTGCCTGTTGGCTCTAGCTCAATAAAATAAAAATGAAAATAAACATGTCCAGAACCGTTTCTCTGAGATGTTCAGGGTGGTTTCATTCATATTGAGTAGTAGGCGCGCGTCATTTGTTTAAGACTCAATTCAAAAATGGCCGACTAGTGGTCATTTCGTTATACATTCTATGCCGAATCTTCATTATTTTATTGCCTATACTATTATACTCGTTTGTGATTTGATCCAATTTGTCGAATTGGTGGTCATTTTGTCTAGAATCTTAAAATAGATAAACGGAGCTTTGTATCAGAATCATACATACTGAGTTACAGATGCACATCAATTTTAACAACTGTTTTTTTCTGAGATGCCTTAATGATATTCAAACTCAATACAATGATTCTACATACCGTATTTTGGTTGCACATTGCATTTTTAACGATTCGACCAAACAACTGATCATATCACAGTACTATTTAGCCAAATATACACCTATTCTGAATCTCTGCTAGTGATTAAATTTAGCATTAGATACAGAACGGGAGCTGTACATTGTCAACGCTTGTTCCTAGCTCGCATGACGTAATACGTGGTTGTGGTCAATACCTTTATATTAATTGTTGTTAATTTTTATCGTTTTTACGTACATTATTTTTTCATAATTAAATAATTGCATGGGTGTTCAAATATCATATCAATTATTTTGTTGTTTCATGTATTATATTAATTTTAATTATTAATTATAGTTAATTAGTGATGGCGATCATTGAACAATTACAAACACCACGAAATGTAGAAATGTTAAAATAAAGTTCGACAAGTTGCGATAATGTTTGGAATTGGATGTTCTGTGCACACCAAAACAAAATAAATGTTCGTTATTATAAAGTAGTAGTAATACATTATAATGTACGGAAAAAAGAGACTGGGATAAAATATTTTCAGCATATGCACAATACATGCACCACTTCAAGGCTTTGATCTCGAAGTTTTGAATTGCCTTCTGAAATATAATTGCTACCAACAAATCAGTAAAAAGGGGTCATTGAACTGATATTAATAATCTATGATTATCTGTAATGCGGTACATTCGTGCAATATTTGAGTTTGAGACGAGTAAAACGTAGATTACGGCGAGCAACGCCAGCTATTCGATTGGATTTCTCTGAATTGGTTAGTCGGTTTTAAATAGTTTAGGATTCGAAGCATGCCGGAGGAAGATTACATAAGGAATGAGTAATAAACTGATTGCATTAGACGATCGCAAAATATCATTGCTGCATAGATTACAACAAATTATTATTATCCTGGCAGATTTCATCTATTGAAAGGAGGGGTATGAGTGGGTGTTTATTGTCCAAGTAGGCCTAGTTAACTCCTTCATCATTAGTACGCCAGTAGTAATTTTTATATTATTTATTGTGTTAAAAAAAGAAGAAAAAGAAGCACTATATTTATATTTCAGAAATAATTTTGCTATGCTAGAATAATTTGTAAGGTTTAATTTAAAGCGGGGAGTCATCGCATGCGTCAGATATCCATAGCGTGTCATTGTTTACAAACAAGCGTCTACCCATGAGCCTTTGCGTTATTAGCGTGTGTTATCGTCGCTTAGGACTCAATTCTCGCGCGTTCGCAGGTGACGACCCTCCCGCTTTAAGCGAATATAGAGAACAGTTATAATAGACTGTAGATGTAGCAGAACTTTTGTATTTTGTTTAGGTTATGGTAGTTATACTTAACATTAAATTATTCCGTTTATCATTAAAGTGTGTACTTCTTCTTATATTTGTTTAAAGCAGCATAACTCCGAGTTCTGAACCATTAAAACATCGGTATCGTGATTATACTGTTCTTGTGTGGAGAGTGTAATCATAGACTGTCGACAGTCCCTCAGGCCTAATTTGTTTAGTTTTGTTTGTTTTTAGGGAGAATAAAATGGAACGTCGAAGATGTCTGCAAAATACCTTCAGCCCTCGCCGAAATCGCCTTCATCATGCGGAAAAATAAACAAATTATGCCTGTGGGACTACCGACAGTTTATATAATAACGTGACATACTGTTAGTTCTTTAATTTGCGGAACTTTTATGGAAATGTCATTAACTTGTACTTTATATGCATGTGCACAATGTAATATACTGCCATGGATATATTTTCAAACGTGTTCGGAATAGTGCTTCTCTGTCATTGCAGGGGTCGTATGTGTAAGATACTAGCAATGATGTGAGAAAGTGGTATCCCCGTGCGTGGCATGTGCACGTGTACATTCTTGGTACATATTACTGAAAGGACATTTCTCAAAATAATCCCTGTGGATCATGATTATTTGGTCGACTTGAAGTTCGTTTATGCCTATGATTTATGCATGTATTTTCAATACGAGTTCAACGCATTGTATAACTCTGCTGATGTAACGAATAAATATATATTTTTTCGTAAATGTATACTCCAATTACTAATACTGTGCTTACAATAATTAGTTAGTTACAGTGATTACTCCGAATTTCAAATAAATTGTCTGATCCGTAACATATCAGGAAATTAACTCCAATCTTCCAATAAACAACGAGTGAAATTGTTCTTTCAATTGGGACTACGTACAAACTATAATTGGAGTTTACCACGTTGTGGGCGAAATAGCAATGGTGCACGAAAGAGGAAAAAAATATGCTTCCCACGCTGATGTTTAATCAAATTTAGACTTGTACTTAAAGGGGGTAAAACTCTAGGATTTTATGTTATATTAAGGCTCTCTCATGCCTCTGGGCAAAATATAATTTAAAAAATAAGTCTTATGTATCTTATTGTTGCTTCACAATACGGGTTATGTATGATATGTTCATGGATATAACAGGCGGAAAGTCACATAAAAAGTGAGTTATACAAAACTCCAAACTCCCAGCCTGTCCTTGTGGTTATGCTCAAACATAAAAAATTCTAATTTTTAATACTGAAAGAAAAGTAAAAATCAGTCTTCGAATAAACCCAAGCTCAGAGCTGGGAATGAAGGTATGTACTTTGCATTATGTGCGTTATAAATTGTGAAAGTTTACGTTGAATAGTCGATGAAAATACATTTAATATTTGATTCTCACATTCATCGCTACCGTATTGTTTAACAAGCCATCGACGACCACTGTCGAATGACAGTAATCTGCAAGATCTGGACATAAACTCTATTATATAATAAAACAATTCACCATTATAATGACGGTTTCACTCGGTATTTTGAATTGGAGTAGTCAATAATGATTTTGTGATAGTTAAACGGTAAACGTGATTTAACCTATCTTTAGAATTATCGATAAAGGGACGACAGTATGCAGAGAATATATAAAAACAAAAGAAATTCAATTTCAACCGCACGGTGTTTAATCATTTCAGTCCCCGTTCTGGCGTTCATAGTTCGACTGCTCGACGACATAGATACGTCTGGGTACAATTTTGCTGAAGTTGGCCACCACCTATTATATAATACTTGAACGACGACTAATTCGTCAAAACACAGCGTTCGAATTTCGCATGAACACGGTGGGGGTACTGACAAATGTTTTGTTTTCGCAATTTGTACTTATTTGAGATGGCCAACTTGTGGCTTATTTTCAGAGTACTCTTACTCTGCAAATATAACAGAAAGGCAAGAAAGAACATATTCACTGCAAACTAGAAAACATTAGCAACAATATATACTTCGGGATTTGACCCTTTACTCTGGGTATATATCTGTCAATGAATTGGCTTTAGTAAAACCTGGTAAAATAATAACAATTTTAGAATTGCGTATATTTGAAAATTGAATGTAATCAAAATGATGAAAATGTTACCAATCGAGCGAAAACGCGCCATTAAAATGACTGTCATACAGTAAATATTCTGTATGGAATTAATGGAACGTTGGTCAATAACGTAAATCATAGTATTTAGTAGACAACTTTTCGCTTTCATGATATATCGTAAAATCAGATTATATGGAGATGGTAAACGTAAT